ACTCAAGTTAGGCATTGATAGAACTTTAATTTAGCATTGTTGATACTTTATCAAATCGGATCAAGTACCCCAGTCAGGTGGTCAAACGTATGACTCCTCACCAATTTTCGGGCTCGAGGGAAAGACATTCTTTCATACATTTCATGTTTGTAATCTGAAAGTAGTACCTTTTTCTTCTTACCATAGGTAGAGAACCCAGGAAATAGAACCATAAAACACACGTAACGGGAAATGTCAATATACCATCATAGATGTTAGAAAGATAGATTTTTCAAGAGATAAAAGGGGTTTCAACATCTTGCGATACAAATTCAATTACGCAGATACAAATAAATTAAACCAGTAAAAAAAACAAGATAAAATAAAAGGGATAAAAACAAAAAAAAAACAAAAATTAAACAAGGGGGGAACAGAAATTAGAACAAAGAATGAACAATCAATTTAAGGAAGAAGAGATTGAACTCATAATTGTATCAGTAACAAGGGGAACCAAAAATTAGGTTCATTAAAGAGATAAAAAGAAAATATTTCCAATACACTCACGAAGGAGTATCAACCCATTATTCAAAATCTAGACCAATCAAATTAAACACTAAAGTTAGTTCTTTATAGTAGCTACATAAAATTATTACTACAAGATAATGCCAAATGCAGATTGTAGCTTCAACTTTGATTTTTAGGACCATTTGGCCATAGATTTTGCCAAAATAAACTTGGGTTTTATTTGGCAAACACATGCCTTAGATTTTACCTATATTTTGGTAAAATCCCAAATCCCAAATTCCAAAATCTTTACAAACACTAATAAGATACACATGTTTTTTCAAAATAAATTTGGGAAATATGTTTTGAAAATATATGTCCAAACACATTTTCATCTTCAAACCAAACTTCACCCAAATCAAATTTTTTAAACCACATTTTTTTTTTAAAACAAATTTGGAAATCCATAGTCAAACGCCAGCTTAGCCTTTTGTAGCATTCTAAGGCATCGATATCTTCTTTGTATGGATTCTAAGTTATGAATACTAGGTCGGATCTTATCATCTTTTAAAAGGGTAATTAAGCTATCAAAATCAAAGATTCATCTGTTTTGTGAGAATTACTTGTTGGACTTTAAGCCATTGGGCTTTAAAGTAGAAGAAGCGTGAATTGGAAATGGAGGAAAATAAAATGGAGAGAAAATGAAAAATTTGAAGAAGTGAACTTTTGTCTTGCACTTTGTCCCTCATTGGTGAGGGACAACCACATTTGTATGCTTATATATAGAATCACTTCTTAAAGCTCTTAAAAGGAGTTGAAGAGAATGAACCCTCGCGCCGTCGCCGTCGTCGCTCGCTCGGCTCGGCTTTGGATTTGGATTTGGAAAATGATCGATAAGATTATTTTTTGGACAAAATTTATTTAATTATTAATTAAATGCCAAATCACTGCTGAAAATACGCCAGAATCCTGCTGAAGATTCAGAGGGTCTCTCTGGCCGCGATTCTACCGCGACTGCAGTGGAACCGCGGCAGGCAGATTCAGAGAGCCTCTCTGACCGCGGTTCTGCCGCGGTCGCGGCAGAACCGCGGCAGGCAGCGTATTCTTCTGAAAAGGCACCTTTTCCAGACACCTCTTCTGATAATTGCCTATAAATTCTGAGGCAAGGCTCCATTTTCTATATACAAAAAATACTCCAGAACTTCTTTCTTTCTGAATACACTGCATCCTAATTCGCAGTCTCTCTCTCTCAAATTCGTAAGTGTGATTTTGCTCCGTTCTTTGAGTTCGTTGGTATACTGTAGTTTGTATTACCACTGTTGCAGGAAGGTTTATTCCGTTTTATCCTGGGAGGATTTAATCCATTACCTTGGCAACGTGTGAGGGGGTTAAAATTCCTTAAGGACGCACAAGAAAATTGTGGACTCGGAATATTTCTTATTGTTTATTGTTTTTTGTTCCAGTTTTTCCTTCTAACAGTTTTTTTATTTTTATTTTCTTCCTAATCTTGTGTTTCCACACAGGACTATTAACAAGCTTAAGGAATTTTAGGGGAAAAAATCTAACGGTTCTGTGTTGAAATATATATATTAAACTGTTATCTATATTTTGTATACTGGTTTGGAGACTAAAGCCTTCGTGCTTTCTACTCCAATAATTGTTCTGTCCGGTTTAAAGTATAACAAAAATTTACCGGAATAAGAAACATACGGGTTTGAAGTATATAAAAACTTCACCATTGTTACGTGTTGTGTGTTTGGTTTGGTATTCAGTTTGAAGATATCAAAACTTCACCGATTTAACAAAATTCCGTTTTGTTTCCAACTCTACAGAAACATGTCGAATGAAAACCAAACTAATGGAAATGTTGCGGGAACGGGTTCTACTGTTACGAGTGTTGCTGCCTCGTCAAGCCGTTCAACTCCTGATCATGCTATGGCACCAGCAGAAAAACCCAGAAAGTTTTCCGGTATTGACTTCAAACGTTGGCAAATGAAGATGCTCTTCTATCTGACTACGTTGAGTTTGCAGCGATTCATCAAGGAGGATCCTCCAGTCCTGGCTGAAGGCACTCCGGATGAC